CCTCCGTGAGCCTGCAGGTCCTGCACCCACGCGCTGGGCCACGGAACTGCCTCACTGCAGCTTCAGTGCCTCCACATGCTCTTCAGATCAGAGAAGGGGCTCAGAGGCGGAGGAAGGAAGGCGGGTTTATGTAACTAGGTCACTCGATCATTTCAATTTCGATAGAAATTTTTTTGTGTGTTTCAGAATTATGCGTCTGTGGAATGTTTTTTGCTGCTTCTTGGAAATTCCCAAATCACTAGAATGATAATGCGGTTCTCTGAAAAGCTCCCCCTCTTCCCTAGCCCACTCGATCACCAGCTCCCCCATTTCTAGTCCTTAAAGGGGCGAAAAGCCGGAGAGCGACCGGACTGGGGCTTTTGTAGGTGACAGAACAGGGAGCCGAGGCCACCGTAGGGCAGGCCTGCGACCCTGCGGAGGCCTAACGGGCTGTGAAGGAGAAATGCGCGCTCGGGGTCCGGCTGCTGCTTCCAGCAGCTGCGCAGCCGTGGCCACTGGAGTCAGCTGACCCCTCCAGGGGCGCTGAGCGAGTGTCCGGAGCCCCGGGCACCGTCTGGCTCGTTCGGGGAACAGCCCTGTGCTGTGAGGGACGCTGGGTTACCTCCGCCACCCAAGTCCCGAATAAGCCCGAGCCAAGCTGCAAACACCCCCAAGAAAAGGCCCCCATTAGCCCTCGGCACAGAACCCCCACCACGCTGCACACGTCTGTGGTTTGTCTTATGATCGGAAGCAGCGTTGTTGGTGCTCATCAACCCTGGGTGATACCAATGAAAACGTGCTTTTCACAGCGATCATCTCATTTAACACCGACAGGCCGTTCTGGTAAAGTGTTTGCAGCTGAAAGGGGTGCCTGGATCAGACAGTGGTGCCACCATGAGACCTGGGTCTTCCCCGCCGCGCCCACGTTCACGTCGATCATCTCATTTAACACCGACAGATAGTTCTGGCAAAGTGTTTGCAGCTGAAAGGAAACGACCACATGGAGAGGTGACGTCACTTGGCAGGGGTGCCTGGATCAGACAGCGGTGCCACCATGAGACCTGGGTCTTCCCCGCCGCGCCCCCCCCCCTTCATTTGTTCCTGCAGCAAAACTTACTGAGCACCTACTGTGTGCTGGGCACCTACTGTGTGCTGGGCACTTCTCTAGGCAAAGGGGTTGCGGGAGTGAACACAATGGACAAAAGCCTTGACCCCAGGGGTTTACATTCCAGTCATGGGAGCTGGGCCACAAAAAACATAAACGAAAAGATGTACAGCATGGTAGACGGTGATAAGGGCTTTGGAGAGAAATCACGCGGGAGGTCGGGTGGGCGGTGCTGAGGCAAGTTTAGGTGGAGCCCTGAGGTGGGAGTGAGCCACGGGCACCTGGAGGAGGAACATTTCAGGTAAAGGGCGGCCTTCCCGAGGCAGATGCCTGGCGTGTTCGAGGCCAGTGCGGCTGGGGGGAGCCAGAGGGAGGGCGAGGGGGACTGAGGTCAGAGAGGTGGCAGGGCCAGGCTTGGGGGCCTTGCAGTCCCTCAGGATGGCTTTCCCTTCTCCCCAGGGCCCGTGGGGGGCCGTGGAGGGGTGAGCTGCATCCTCTGCCTTCCCTTCAAGGCGATTCCTCTGGTGGCGTGTTCAGGCGGGTCAGGAGGAGCCAGGACCCTCCTGGCAGGAGACGGTGGGTCTGTTTTGGAGCTCAAGTGGACAGAATGTGCTACCAGACTGGAGATGGGGTTTGAGAGAAAGGGAAGCACAAAAAATGACTCAGAGAGAAACATCCATGATGAGAGAGAATCACTGATGGGCTGCCTCCTGCGCGCCTCACACTGGGGATCGAGCCTGCAACCCGGGCATGTGCCCTGACCGAGAATTGAGCTGTGACCTCCTGGTTCATAGGTCGACGCTCAGCCACTGAGCCACGCCGGCTGGGCCGCCTACAGGGCTTCATATGAGAGAAAAGCCAGCCCCCAGCTCGCTGAGGTTCCAGTCCTGCCCGCGCCCATCCCCATGACGCAACCGGGAGCAGGGAGGCAGGCAGGGCGGTTGTCGGTGGTTGTCGGCGGAGAAGGCCACCTCCGGGACCGTGGCCACACAGGTCACGGCGCGAAGGGCGTGGTGAGTCCATCGGAGGAGGCGGGAGGCAGGTGGGCTGGGCGCAGACCTGGGCAGAGGGGGCCAGTGGGTGCAGGGTCTGGCCTGATTCATGGGCGAGGGGAAGGGGTTGGCCTTTACCGAACGTTCCAGCAAAACCTTTTCTCCCTTTCGTAAGCGAGACCACAGCTGGCCTCACAGAATGTGACCTCCACGGAGAGCCTGGGCCGGGACAGGACGGGCTCCCTGCTAGGACGTCCGGGGATCCCAGCGTCCTGCCCGTCCGGGCGGGTGCCACGCAGACACTCCGGGGAAGCGTGTCCACAGAAGGAACGATGACACGTGTCCCGGCTCCGAGAAAACAGCGAGAAAGCATGGAAAACGGGGACAAGACGGGTCGGGACTGCGCACCCCAGCGCCATCGTAGGACGTACCGTTTGGTAAATGTTTCCCTGAGCATTTGGGGGAGGGGGAGGTAACAGCTCGGAGCGGCACCGCCAAGCAGCCAACTCCATCCCCGTCCCTGCGGCTTCCCCGGCCTCACGGACAGACAGACGGTGAGATGTCTGAGGGTGAGACGCGATCTGCCGTTTGTGAGGGTCCGTCCCATGGACTCAACGCCCCAGCTCCTCACACATCAGCTTCTCTTTCTCTTTCGGGTGAGTCCTCCCCGCGAGTTTCCGTGGAACCAGAGCGTCGGCTGCCGTCGCCACGCTGTGCAGGTGCCCAGACCTTGTCCATCTTCCCACGGACAGTTTGTAGCATTTGAAACCGCCCCTCCCAGTCCCCACCCCCCCCCCCACCCCGGCAGCCACGTTCCTACGGTTTCTGGGGCGTTTGTGTGTGAGGAGCGTGTTTAGACCCACGTGTACGTGACGCTGTGGTGCTGGTCTGTGTGGATCCCCTCACTTCACACAGGGCCTCCGAGAACACGCGAGTGCGAATGACGGGACTTCCTTCCCGTAAATCCCTTGTGCACGCCCCTGGCGAGGGAGCCTGGGTGTGTCCACGCCCTGCGGCCTCGCGTGAATAATGCTGCTGTGAGCTTGGGAGGAGGGACCTGGCTTAGGGTTTATCTATTTCCTCCAGGTTGTCCAAGGTTCTGGTGAATAATTGTTCACAGTTGTCTCCCAGGATCCTTTGTAATTTTGTAGAATCAGTTGTAACAACTCTTTCTTTCTGATTTTATTTATTGAGTCTTCTCTCCCCCCCCCCTCTTTTTTTGTGAGTTTGGATAAAGGTTTGTTTATTTTATTTATCGTTTCAAAAAACAGCTCTTAGTCTCACTGGTCGTTTCTATTTCCTTGTTAGTTTCTATTTAACTTGCGTCTCGGCTAGTTCCTTCCCTCTGCTAACTTTGGGTCTGGTTTGTTCTGCTTTTCAAGTTCTCTGAGGTGTAAAGTGCCTTGAGGTGTAAAGCTGGGCTGTTTATTTGAGATCTTTCTCTTTTCTGAATGTGTGTGTGGATCACTTCCCTCTCAGAGCTGCGCTTGTGGTTGGAGCTGACGGCCTGATGTGATTTCAGGTTCTGGACGCTCCGTGTGACCCGGGAGATGTGTGTCCGCTGCTGTTGGGTGTGAGGTTCTGAATATGTATGTCTCTCGGGTGCATCTGATACGATGTGCAGTTTAAGTCTCACTCTCCTCATTGATTTTCTGTCTGGATGATGTATCCATTGTTACAAGCAGAGTATTGAAATCTCCTGTTATTACTGTCTTGCTGTTCATTTCTCCCTTCAGATATGTTAATTTTTGCTTTATATATTTAAGTGCTCCTATGTTGGGTGCATAAATATTTATAACTGTTATATCCTTTTGTTGAATTGACCCCTTTATCCTATGTAATAAAAGGCTAATATGCAAATCAACCGAACGGCGGAACTACCACTCGCTACGACGTGCACTGACCACCAGGGGGCAGACGCTCAATGCAGGAGCTGCCCCCTGGTGGTCAGTGAGCTCCCACAGGGGGAGTGCCGCTCAGCTAGAAGCCCTGAGCTGGGCTCATGGCTGGCGAGTGCAGTGGTGGTGGTGGGAGCCTCTCCCGCCTCCATGGCAGTCGGACCTCCCCTGAGGGCTCCCGGACTGTGAGAGGGCATAGGCCGGACTGAGGGACCCGCCCCCCAGTGCACAAATGTCGTGCACTGGGCCTCTAGTTATCCTATATAATAAAAGCCTAAGATGCTAAGTGTCCAGTTGTCCGGTTGTTTGTTCAGCCACTCAAAGCATAATATGCTAACGATATGCTAAGGCTGCTCAACTGCTCACTATGATGTGCACTGACCACCAGGGGGAAGACATGCCGACCGGTAGGTGAGCTTGCTGCTGGGGTCTGGCTGATCGGGACTGAGTGAGACAGGCAGGACATGCCCTGGAGCCCTCCCACGGTTCCTCTCTGGCTGGCCAACCTCCCGCGTCCCTCCCCTTTCCTGATCATGCACCAGTGGGGTCTCTCGGCCTGGCCTGCACCCTCTCACAATCCGGGACCACTCAGAGGATGTCAGAGAGCCGGTTTCGGCCTGATCCTGTAGGCCAGGCCGAGGGAACCCACTGGTGCACGAATTTGTGCACCAGGCCTCTAGTTATATAATAATCTTCTTTGTCTCTTGTTACAGTCTCTGGCTTGAAGTCTATTTTGTCTGATATAATTATAGCTATCTCTGCATATATATATATATATATATTATTGATTTTTAGAGAAGATGAAGGGAGAGGAAAAGAGGAAGAGAAACATCAATGCGAGAGTAGAACATCGATAGGCTGCCTCACGCATGCCCCTCTACCAGGAATCGAACCAGCAACCTTTTGGTGCAGGGACGATGCCCAACCAGCTGAGCCACACCAGCCAGGGCTGCTTTATTTTTAAATTTCCACTCACATGGGGCATCTTTTCCCACCCCTCCACGTTGTCTACCTCTGTCCTTAAAGCTGAAGTGAGTCTGTTGTAGGCAACATATAGTTGGGTCTTATTTTGTTATCCATTTGTCACGCTGTGACTTTGATTGAAGAATGTCGTCCATCTGCATTAAAGTCAATATAGACAGTGACAGAAATAGTTGTGCTTGTGGCTAGTAATTCTTGTAACTGCTCTCTGGTTGATTTGCATTCCTTGGTTCCTTTCTTCCCCTTTTTCACTCTGTCCCTTCTATTTGACGATTGCGTGACTGGCATGCTTAGATTTCTTGCTCTTTATCTTTTGTGTATCTACTATAGACTTCTGTTTTGTGGGAACCATGAAACCTAAAGCACCGTATATTTATAACAGGCTATTTTGAGCTGATAATAACTCAGCTTTGAACACACACCAAATCTCCCCTGCCCCACATGTTTATGTCACAATTGGCATCTTTTTACAATGGCTATCTATTAACAAATTATTGTAGCACAGTGACTTAATGCTTTGTCTTTCTTTTTTATTTTTGATTAATCTTCACCTGAGGATTTTTTTTTCCATTGACTTCTCTTTTTTTAGAGAAAGTGGAAGGGAGGGAGGAAGGGGGAGAGAGAAAGATAAACATTGATGTGAGAGAGACACATCAATTGATTGCCTCCCATACATGCCCAACCAGGGCAGGGATCGAACCTGCAGCCCAGGTATGGGCCCTTGACCAGGATGGAACCCGTGACCCTTCTGTGCGTGGGCTGATGCTCTAGCCATTGAACCATGTCAGCCAGGACTTAATACTTTGTCTTTTAACCTTCCTACTAGAGTTATAAGCAATTTACCCACCACCATTGCAACATTCAGGTATTCTAAATTTAACTATACATTTACCTTTACTCATATGTTTTCCTGTTACCAATCAGTGTTCCTTTGTTTCAGCATAAAGAACTCCCTTCGGCACTTTTTGTAAGGCCGCGTTAGTGCTGACTAACTTCTTCAGTTTTCTTTGTAGGCAAAACGTTTATCTCTCCGATTCTGAGGACAGTTTTGCCAGGTAGAGTATTCACGGTTGGCAGTATTTTTTTCCAGCACTTTTAACATATCATCCCACTGCTTTCTGGCCTGAAGTTTCTGCTGGAAAAAATCTGCTGGAAGTCTTAAAGGGATTCTGTCTACAAAAGAGCAGGCACACCATCCCGTTGCCACAGCCATGGCCAGATCAAGTCTCAGGCCACGGCCGATCCACTGTCCAGGAAGCCACGTCTGCCTTCTGACGGGAGATCTGAGAAATCAGAGAGCAAAGGGCAGGGGTGCTGGGGACCCGTCATGGGGAGCCCCTTGGGGCCCCCAACCCAGGTCAGGTGGTGGGCCACAGGTGTCTACACTGACCGGACAACAGGGGATCACTTCTCCAGGCCCGGGCACGTCCTAGAAGTGGTGTGAGCTGCATTCAGGAATGCCACCTGAACGCCTTTCAAAAAAGAATTATAGCCCTCGCTGGTGTGTCTCAATGGATAGAGCGTCGGCCTGCGGACTGAGGGGTCCTGGATTCAATTCCAGCCAAGGGCACATGCCCGAGTTGTGAGCTCAATCCCCAGTAGGGGGTGTGCAGGAGGCAGTCGATTAATGATTCTCTCTCATCATTGATGTTTCTAACTCTCTCTCCCCCCTCTTCCTCTCTGAAATCAATAAAAATATATTTATAAAAAAGAAAAAAGAATTATAGGCCGGGCTGGTGTGGCTCAGTGGTTTAGAGTCGACCTATGAACCAGGAGGTCACGGTTCGATTCCCGGTCAGGGCACAGGCCTGGGTTGCGGGCTCCATCTCCAGTGGGGTGTGCAGGAAGCAGCTGATCTATGATTCCCTCTCATCATTGATGTTCTATCTCTCTCTCCCTCTCCCTTCCTTTCTGAAACTATTAAAAAATTATTTTTAAAAAATTAAAAACCAAAAGGAATTATAGGAACTACGTGTGTTTAGTCCCGAAACGAGAAAACCAGGGACGCACAGCATTGCATGTTCACCCTGTAAAGAGCTCTCCTGTGCGAGCAGCCGTCTTACTCTCGGTTCCCCAATAGGCCCAGGGGCTGGTTGTGTGCGGGAACTGTGCTGGGCGCGGAGACCGAGGCAGAGGGAGGGGAGTTCCAGGAGAACCACTGACCCAGTGAGACAAGTGTTACTAGCAAATACTTCATCTGAGCCCTGGCTGGTGTGGCTCCGTGGATAGAGCATTGGGTCCCGGGTTTGATTCTGGCCAAGGGCACGTACCTCGGTTGCAGGCTCCTCCCTGGCCCGGGCCCTGGTTGGGGCTCCTACAGGAGGCAACCAATCGATGTGTTTCTCTCACATGGATGTTTCTCTCTGTCTTTCCCTCTCTCTTCCACGCTCTCTAAAAATCACTGGGAACATATCCCCGGGTGAGGATTCACAACAACAAAAATAATAATGATTCATCTGACCCAGGTGAGTCCTGAGGCCTCTTGGGGGATTCCTTCCCGGGTGGGCCTGGAAGCGGGCCTCCAGGTGTGGGTTTGTGGG